TTTGTGGTGCTGGAATCGAACTCAAGGCCTTTATATTGAGCTATGTCCTTAGACGTTATTTTTTATTTTGAGACAGGATCTCGCTAAGTCACTAAATTGCCCAAGGTAGGCTTGAACTTGAACCCTCCTGCCTCAGCCTTCCAGACTCCTGGGATTATAGATGTGCACCATCGCGCCTGGTTTGAACTTTAAAATGATTAATTTTATATTATGTGAATTTCACCTAAACATAAAAAAAGTTTTAAAATTAAAGTACTCATTCTCATTGTTCTACAATCTCTCACTATTGGGAAAGAAGGGGAGGATTTCATTCCCATTCCATAGCGATAAGAGGGATTAAACAGTTCTCTACATTCTGGTATTTTCCACCTTTCGGCCTTTTAGTGTGTGTGTGTGTGTGTGTGAAAAGTGTAGCATTTCCCAGATGTCTGCAGCACAGAAGTAACTCCAACCATGATCCCTGATTCACCAGCCTACACTGTGCACCATCACACAGCAACAGCAGCAGCTGTGTATCTACAGTCACCATGCACCAGCTAGGTTGTCCACAGTCAACTGACTAACTGTGTTTACCAGACACTAAACCCAGCCAGGCCCGTGTGGTCTAGCTGGGCTGTGGGGAGTGGCATTCTGCGGCAGTGACATCAGATGAAGACAGTGGATCACTTCAATCCCACAGATGAATACAAAGACCCTGAGATTTCCACATACTTTCAGGATCAAACTCTGTCAACAAAGACCAGAAGGACCTTTGGAAGAGGGGCAGTGTTTTCCTTTTTGACTCTTTTATACTCAGAAGAACAAATGCTTCAATACAGAGATCCAAAGTAGTCAGCTCTTAAGTAGAAAGCAAAGCCCCAGAGCTTATGGGGCATAAAAAAACATTTAGAACAGAGATGAAAAAGAAAGGACTTGAAAGGAAACTATAATACAACGACACCAAAAACATGGCTCACTTCACCCTTCACAAGGTCAGAGGACGGCTGCCGGTCTCTCCAGTGCCTTCTCCTTTGGTCCATCACTGTGGAGTCAGCACCACAGATACACAGCCTCCCCAGCCCCTCCCTGGCCACCTTCTGAACGCTCCATGGGCCTCATGCTTTGCTTCCTGCTCACTCTCTAATCTTTCCAGCTTTGAACCTTGGGATATTTACTTCCTACTATGGCTTTGTCCTCTCTCAAGATGAACAGTTGGGTTTGAGCTGCTTTTAAACATTCCTGTGCATGACTGTCATTGGTTACTTCATCCAGTCAGCTCGGCTGAGGAATGTCACTCAACTGCATGCTTTTCTCAGGTGTATGCTTCAAGACTAGGCCTTAAATAAGCCACAAGAGGCTGGAAAAACTTTAGAAAGCATCTTTAAATATACTGAAAAGCAAAATATATTAAATGTTTTCAAATTTCCCCTAATTCTATTGCAAAAGCCACTGACTCAGATTTTATACATTTATATATATATATATATATATACTACACACAGAAACACACACACACAGAGAAAAGTATCTGTTTCCCATGCCTGTCATGGCATGAAATGAAATGCAAACTAGAGAGCAGAGTGGGCTGCAGGTAAGGCTTCTAGTTTCCCTTTGATGGGAATGCAGAGATCCAGCATCAGCTCTGGTGTATCCTGGGGCTAAGCAATGTGGAAGGTGACCACAATGTTGTCTGTGAGGACCCCCACCTGGGGCAGAGCAGTTCCCTGCCAGCTTCATCCTGACCTCGCAGCACAGCAGCTCGTGGGCAGCGTGGTGAAATCACACTAACCCGTTCACAATTACTGTCTCTGACATTCGGCAAGTCCATGGGGCTTTCCAAGCCTGTCTCTGCACTTCTGAGATGGGAACTGTAAGATCTATTGTGTATTATTTAAGGTGATTGTGATGGGTTCAACTGTGACCTCCAAAAGATTAGCTGAAACCCTGACCCCTGTACCGTAGAAATTACCTTATTGGAAACAGGGTCAGTAGATGGACATGTAATTAGTCAAGATGAAGTCACACAGGAGTAGGGTGAGCCCTTGATCCAGGATGTGTGGTGTCCTTTTAAGGAGAGGGAAGATGACCATCTGAGGAAGCAGACACACAGAAGGAGGCCATGCGACAACAGGCAGAGACTGGACAGTGCAGCTACAAGTTGACGAATGCCAAGGATTCTAAGAGCCACCAGAAGTTCAGAAGAGGTAACAACCTCCCACTACATGTCTCAAAGGGAGGATGGACCTAATTTGATTTTAGACTTATGGCCCACAGAACTAGGAAACAAATTTATGTTGCTTCGAGTCATCTGGCTTCTGGTACTTTGTTAGGGTAGCCTTAGCAAACTAGCACGGTGGTGTAGGTCTAATGTAGTATGCGTGTGTGCACACATGCGTTCACACGCACTCGTGTGTGTGTGTGTGTGTGTGGTAACAAAGAAGAAAAGAAGGACATATTTCTTCTGTGTCTGCCATGGACCAAATGTGTTCCTCACAGCACATGTTCTTCTTGTAGCCCTGGGTTAGTTATACTGAGAGGTGGTTTGTCATAAAAGCAAGTTTGGCCTTCCCTTGGTCCTCACTCTCGCTCTCTGTTGCCCTTCTACCTTCTCCTATGAGACGACGCAGCACCAAGTCCCTCCCCAGATGACAGTGCCATGCTCTTGAACTTCCCAGCCTCTAGAACCATAAGCTAAACAAATCTAATTCCCATAAATTACCCAGGTATTCTGCTATGCAAGGGGTGATCAAAACATATGGTGAATATCTGTATTAAAAATTATTACAGAAAAGCACAATGCCATTAACCACCCCTCCATCAAATACTCTTCCTCATATCTAACACACATACCCTATTGTTCTTGCCACTTTTTGAAGCAATTCTAGTTCTTTGGCAGTGTTCCTATGAGGTCTGATTAAAGAAAACATGATAAATACTGCTGCCCTCTGCCACCCAACAGAAAGGCGAGCTCCTAAAGACAGCAGTGTGTCCTCACCCGTCTTATTCACCAGATTTGGTACCATGCAACTTCTGGTTCGTCCCCAAGGTCAAAATGGCCATGAAAGTACACGGTTTGAACAGATCCAGGACATCAAGGCAGCTATGACAGAGCAACTAAAGACATTCATGAAAGAGGACTTGCAGAGCTGCTTCAGAAAGTGGCAACGGTAATGGGATAAGTCTGTCTGTTCAAAGCAAGAGGGGGGAGGAGTCTGAGGGGAGATTAATGGCAATGCGTCTTTTACTCTAATAAATTTTAAACACATTAAAAAATTTAGTATATGTTTGCTATATGTGGAATATTAGTACCTATACCTATCACACATCTTAGTCTTTTTGCTTTCCCTTTCTTCCTCCTTCTCTCATCATCCTCGTATTCCCTTTCATCTCTCCAAAGTCTATCTCTATTTCCTATCATCTTTCTTATATTTTTCTCTTTAAATTATTTATACTTTGGATTTTTCATATCAGAGAAACCATGCAATATTTACCCTTCTGTGTCTGGTTTATTTCATTTAACATTATAGACTCGCAATGCATCCATTTTCTTACAATTGTATTTTTCAATCAGACCACGTAGCAGCAGAAAATGGACTAAGACACTGTCTAAGCCATGGAAATGTCATTATTTCCTTGGGACCTCACATTGCCTTTCCCACTCACCTCAGCCACTCTGCTCTGGCATTCTGGCTCCAGGCCATGCCTGGAACACCCTGGTTACTCTTCTCCTTAGGGCCTTTTCATCAGCTGCTCCCGCTGCCTGCACTCATTTCCCATCTTTCCTCAGTGAGACTTGCTCTAGCTACTCAGTTCAACACTATTGTTTGGGACACCTCCAATACTTCCAAACCCCCTTGTTCTACTCTACTTTTTCTTTTTTCCATATTCACACTGGCTTCTAATAGCTTACTAATATGTGTGTTGTGCATAATTTACTGTGCCTCCCTTCACACCAGGGCACAAGCTCCAGAGGACAGGGATCGGCACTGGAGCTGTTCACTGATAGGAGTAAGCATTTAAAATAGCACCCAGCTCACTGAAGGTGCTTAACAAGGAATTTTTAGAAATCTATCATTCATTTCCAAAAAACCACCTTATTATTATAGAAACTATCATGCACATTGCAAAAATAATAATAATAATAATAATAAACCTTCAGATTCCCACCATAAAATAAAATTTCTCAAATTACAATAAAAAAGGAGTTGTTTATATTCTCGTTTTCTCTCTCTCTCTCTCTCTCTCTATCTCTCTCTCTTTTTGGTACTGGGGATCGAACTCAGGCCCTTGTGCTTGCAAGGCAGGCGCCAGAACCACTGAGCTAAATCCCTGGCCCAATTGTTTATATTCTCTTAAGTGACTCCCTAAGGAGCCAGATCACCTAAGGAGAAATGTCATTCAGTAGGTATAACACTTATCTTACAAGTTTTGGTGTGTGGATTAAGTGAAATAATGCATCTAAATAATTAAAACAATGTTTACAGTAACACCTAATACAGCTTAGTTTTTGTTTACAGTCCTCTGATCTTATCTTTAACTTCTATCCTTTCCCTCAACTTCCAAAAAGGAGGTGGCAGACACCAGGTAAAAGAATGGAATGATGCTCTTCTTAGAAGGCAGGCAGGCGTCTTCTGCCCCCAGTGTTCAGAAGATGAGTACTGAACACATAAGTTCTCTGATCCAAAATCACCATGAAATGCAAGGCCAATAATTGTTTCACACAATTTTATATTAGCAATAAGACAATAAACAAGGATAGTGTTTTTCATAGTGTTTTTATATTACATGCCATTTTTAATGAAATTTTCTTTTATGAATGAAAGAATGTAAATGACTTTTACAAGTTTACTCAGATGGCCAGGAGAAAGTCTGGGAATTAAATCTAGAGTTAGAAGATGATCAGTGAGAAGATCATTTAGCTTAACACTTAGTAAAAAACATACTATCCACCTCTAGCGTCCCATTCATAATCAATGAAACTGGTTCTAGTACTTGCTGCCCCATCTACTTGGGTGACTTACCTATCTTCACAGATGAAAGTCCTTTTGCTCTGGATAAATCTCCACTGAAATTTTCTTTTCATAGAAAGGAAAATGCACCCTCAATGGTGAGTGCACCGGGAAATGGGGCACACTGCTGACACACCAGGGAATCACTGCTCTTGTGAACTGCAGAGAAAAAAACAAAAGTCAAGAATGTTTTACATCTTTCATCTCTCTTGGAACCCTTTTATATAAATGTGCTTTCTGTTTCTTGGCAGAAGTCAGTACAAAAGAGTAATCTTTTTGTTTGCTCATTTTTGCTGGGCTTCCAGCTAGGGGTTTTAATAATATGAAATTTTCATTGCTTATCCTAAATCTAATGTGGGACTTTAAAAGTATTTATTTTAATTGGCTCCCACTTTTGAGGGGATGAAAAGCATCACATCATGAATATTGAGACTTCTATATTTTTACAGGCAGACTTCTCACATTTATCTTCATGGTAGTTTAGTTAAAATCCAGAGAGACAGAAGACATAAATTCAGTCTATCAGTAAGTAAATACAGGAAGCACAAGTTTATCTCCTCTCCCAGAGGTAGTGAAGGCTCCAATACAAATCACAGAGTTAACAAGGTTAAGGAGCTCCCTCTATATAGTCCATGCCCAATCCGATCATAGCCTGCCTGGACGAGAAGCATGGCATGATGACTGAAGATTTTACCTGCAATGGAGAAGGGCAACATCTCAGAGACAAGCCCAGATTCAAATGTGGCCTTCACAAAAACTCAGTCAAACAAGACAGCACTCTGGGGCACTGACACTGGAAGAAATCTCTCCAAATCTCAGGCTGTTCTTCTGACGCATCTGGTTTATCAGAAGCACAGAGCAAAACTGAGAGGCCAAGGAGAAAGCAACTATGTAGAGGCATATAACCTGAGCAGGCTTTTTGTTCCATTACAGGGTAAGAAGATCCCAACAAGACAGGAAAAGCAGAGACATGATGTCAACACACTGCCCCTCTGAGTATCTGCTCGTTGGTAAGTGATATTAATCAACCAGAGAGTAACAGAGGTGGGATGGAGAGTTAGACAGCTCCAGGCAGTTCCATGGCACTAAGGGTGAGGCCACCAGAGAAAGAGCCCAGGTAACTATGTCTGAAGGCCCTAGCATGAAGGCCCCTAAACAGCAGAATCCTGCCTCCCATCACTGCAGTGCCTCAGGCACTCAATGGATTAAGGAGGTCTACCCACTCCAAATGCTTATCAGAAGCAAAGGAAGCCCTTCTCTCAAGGGAAGTAACACCTTCAACAGTATCCACAATTCTTCATCCAAAATGCACTGCATTTGGTCAACAATTGCAAGGCATAGCAGGGCACATAAGGAGTGATCAAAAATACGTGAGTGTTAAAACTTTTAAAATTTATTACAGTAAAAAACACAATACCATTAATCCCTTTCAAAGTATTCTCTCTCACTTTAACCACATCTCTTCGTCCTTGCAGTTTTGGAAGTCTTCTGAAGCAGTTTTGGAAGTCTTCTTTGATGTCTTTATCAGATGTGATGAAAAAACACAGTGAATGTTGCTGCTGAGTGCCATCCAATGGAAAGGCAGCTCAGAAAGACATTATAGCAGGTCCTCATCCACCTATCCATCAGTTCAGCCACCACACAATGTCTCTCCCCTGAAGTCAAAATGCCCTTGAAAGGTAAACGGTTTGAATCGATTCAAGACAACAAGGGAGTCACAACAGTGCAACTAAAGACATTCATGAAAAAGGACTTCCAGAACTGCTTTAGAAAGTAGCAAGAATGATGGGGATAAGCATGTTCAAAGGAAGGGGAATATTTTGATAGAGATTAATGGCAATCTTCCTTTTACTGTAATAATTAAAAAATTTAAACACACACCCTATGTGTGTGTTGTGATCACCGTTATGTAATGTAAGTTCTGTAGGTTTGAAAAAGAAAGAGGCAATAAAAACAGACCCACAGATAAGCCAGCCAGACATGCAGGATTTGGTCTTTCAAGTAACTATGACTGGATGAGTGAGCGCAGATCCCAGGGAGCAGCGGTGTGGTCCAGACCAGCTCAGCTACAGGCAGATCCGCCCAGGCCCCAGAGGCTCCCACAAGCCACCCAGCCTAGTCCCACCCAGGAAAGAGCTGCAGAGGAACACAAACTTCAGAGGCCAGCCTCACATCATCAGTGAATGTGCACAGATCCCTGGGAGCAGCAGTGTGGTCCAGACCAGTGGTCTGCCCTGGCCCCAGAGGCTGGGGCAAACCCACCCATCCAAGGCCCTCCCAGGAAAGAGCTGCAAAGGTACACAAGTTTTAGTCAAAGACCTGCCCTACAGAATCAGTGGTTTGAAGCCAAGAATTAGTGTACTGGTGAGCAGCAGAAAAAAGGCATCTTGGTGGTGTGGTAAGAATTGAAGACCAGTGGGTGAGCAAAAAGTTGTCTCAATAAAGGCATAGCAGGCTGCATCTGTTGAAATGAGAAGACACAGAAACAAGACCAAAAAAAAAAAAAAAAGACAAAATCCAACATACATTTATGATAAAAACCTTCCAAAAAATTGGAATAGATGATCTCTACCACAATCTGATAAAAGCCATCTATGAAAACCCAACAGCCAATATCATACTAAATGGTCAAAAACTGAAATCCTTCACACTAAAATCAGGAACAAGACAAGGATGTCCACCATCGCCACTCCTGTTCAATATAGTTTTGGAAACATTAGCTACAGAAATTAGACAAGAGAAAAAGAAATAAAAGCAATAAAGATAGGAAATGAAGAAGTCAAATTGTCATTATTTGCAGATGATATGATACTCTATTTAGAAGACCCCAAGAACTCTACCGGAAGTCTTCTAGACTTACAAACCAAATTGAGCAAAGTATCTGGATACAAGGTCAGCACACAAAAGTCAATAGGTTTCCTGTACACAAAAAACATACCCACTGAAAGAGAAGTGGGACAAACAATTCCCTTCACAATAGCATCCAAACAAATTGAAATACCTAGGAATCCACCTAATGAAAGAAATCAAAGACCTCTACTCTGAAAACTACAGCACTCAGAAAAAAAGAGATTGAAGAGGATATCAAAAAATGGAAAGGCACCTTGCTCTTGGATAGGAAGAATCAACATAGTGAAAATAGCCATACTTCCAAAACTGCTCTACAGATTCAATGCAATCCCAGTTGAAATCCCAGCAGCATACTTCACAGACCTTGACAAAACAGTCCAAAAATTCATTAGGAACAAGAAGAGACCTAGAATAGCAAAAGCAATTCTAGGCAATAAAGACAAGTTAGGGCATATCACAATCCCTGACTGAAACTATACTACAAAACTGCTGTGATAAAAACAACATGGTACTGGCAAAAAAAAAAAATAGACCTGAGGACCAGTGGAACAGATTAGAAGATGCAGAATGAGTTCCATACACACTCAGCTACCTCATCTTTGACAAAGTAGCCAAACACCCTCACTGGAAGAAAGCCCCTTTAACAAACAATGCTGGAAAAACTGGGTTTCAACTTGCCAAAGATAAAAAATAGACCTATATCGCTCACCATGCACTAAACTAAAATCAAATGGATTAAAGATCTAAATATTAAACAGAAAATCGGCTGGAAGAGAGGGTAGTAGAACTCTTGGTTTAGGAAAAGATTCTATGAACAAAACCTCAGTTGCCCCTGAACTAGTACAAAAAATCAACAAGTGGGATTTCTCTTCTTATTAAAAAGTTTCTGCACAACTGATAGCATGAAGAGACAACCCACAATGTGGGGAAAGCTTTTCACCAGCTCTTTCTTGGACAAAGGTCTATTATCTAGAATATATAAAACACTTTTAAAAAGTCAGACATTTCAAATTTAAAGGCCCCATCCAAAAATGGGCATCTGAAATGAACAGACATTTCTCAGACAACAAAATAGAAATAGCAAATACATATGAAAAAATGTTCAACATCATTGGTCATTTGAGAGATGCAAATGAAAACAGCGCTGAGATTTCACATCACCCCAGAAAGAATGGCTGCTATCATGAAATAAACCAATAACAAATGCTGGAAGAGATGTGGGGAAAGAGGAACAATGCTCCACTGCTGGTGGGAGTGTAGACTGGTACAACCACTGTGGAAATCAGTATGGAGATACCTCAAAGAACTAGGATTGGAAGTCCCATTTGACCAAACTATTCCCCTGCTGGGTATCTTCCCAAAGAATTAAAAGAATCATACCACAGTGATGTATGTGCACCCATGTTCATTAGCAGCACAATTTGTGACAGCTAAAACTTGGAAGCAGCCCAACTGCCCATCAAGTGGAGACTGGAGACTGGATAAAGAAAATGTGTGTATGTTTTTTAAAAAATCAAATGGAGTACTACTCAGCCATAAGGAATGAGAAACTAGAGACATTTATAGCTAAATGGATGCACATTGAAGCGATACTCTTAAGTGAAATAAATAGTACACATATGTGTAAATACCGAAGTTTCTTGTGTGAGAAACGAAAGTGTAAATAAGGACAAAAAGGTATGATAAATAATATGAAATGGGAATAAAAGGTGCAAAGCAGAAGGGAAAATGGGAGGGGGCTAGGGGAAAATAAAGATGGGCATGGAATTAACATGAGAAAAAGAAAAAATGGAAACAAAGCAAAGTCTTTGTAAATATAGAGGGGTGGAGGGATTGAAGGGAGGGCAGAGGAATGGGAAAAAAATAAGAACCAAGATGGATTATGTAAAGGTGTAAATTTCCAATGCTGAATGTTAATGTGTTGTATACCTTAAATGTACCAATAAAATTAATTTAAAAACTAAAATAAAGCAACTATGACTAGAAGGTTCACAATTATAAAGATTATAAAATATTTTACCACACCTCTCAGTAATTCACATAAAGAGAAAAAAGTAAGTAGGGTAAAATATATTTGAACAAACATAACTCAACCTTAGTCACCCATATACAGTGATACCATTCCCTACAACTGTTACTCTATATGCTTTTAAGGAACACATGAAACATTTATGGAAAATGACCACACATGGTCCATATCATAGGTCTGAAGAAATTTCA